CCCCGGGCCGGGGCGCGGCTGGATGTGCGCTATGCGTGGGGCCGCCTGCCCGTGGACCTGGCTGAGGAGCGGGGCCACCGCGACGTCGCCCGGTACCTGCGCGCGGTCGCGGAAGGCGGGGGCCGTGCCCACCCAGGCGCTACCGTGTAAGGCCCCCCAGGTGAGGACTGATTATCTAAGAATTTGAACCCTGAAAACTTCCAACGCTCAGCATGTTTCTGGAATTTTTCCCGAAGAGAAAGCTCTCGGAAGTGCAGAGTCTCTGGTGTCTCAGCTTACAGGACAACCCAGGGGACAGCCTCAGTCTCCCGATAGCGCTTCCCCTCTAAAGCGACAGACGCGGAAACAGCCCAAAATAAACTTGGGTGGGTGAAAGTCCACCATGGGGCCAGCAGGTGGCGTGGTGGTTAAGGCGCTGGATTCCCACATGGCTGACAGGTTGGAGGCTGGACCTGGTGACAGACTTTCACATTCTCCCTTTCTCTCTGATCAAATTGAAGAATACCAATAAACAAATAAAATAAAAACTTTAAAATGGCACTGCTGTCTTAAAGAAAAAAAAAGGGAGCCCATCACATAAGCCTTCTCCCAACCCCTAGCCACCTATTTTCCTTGCAAGCAGCTTAGGGCCTAAACTTTGACATTTTAAGGACTCAGGAATCTATACTTCACTGCCCGTCTTTCTCCAAACTAGGTAACCAGTCATATCCACTCACTAGGCCTCAGCTTCCCTATTGAAAAACCGAGGTGGCTGGACTTAACTGGCGATTTCTAGAGCATGTCGTATGTGGCGTAATCTGGAAATCTGTCATTCCCAGTTTTATAGCACAATTCTACCAAATCTGGCTCTCTGCTCTATAAGGTGGAATTTTCCACATCTCCTTTAAGGGACTTCTGAGGGCAGCTGGAGTGGAGGGAGACCTTACCAGTCCTTGCAGCCTTTCTTTCCCTTCTCTCTCCTTTTAAAAAATAATTTTTTATTTAATTTTACTTATCATCATTATTATTGTTTTAAAACTTGCAACAAGGTCAATGTACTCATTAGAGAGAGAAAGAGAGAAAGTAAGAAAACAAGGGGCCAAGTTCAGGACTTGAACCATGCTCCACCATGTTGGAGTCCAGTCCTTAACCACCATGCCACCTACCAGCCCCTCCTTTCTTCTCTTAAACTTTCTGGTTCTGTAAGGTGCCACTGGGTGAAGGAAATGGAATTGTGCTCCTTCTGGCCTATCCCTTTTGCGACCTCAAAGCCTGTCTTTTCTCTCAGTCCCATCTCCTTAGTTCCAGACCTGTCTGCCTGGTGTCAACTTTACTCAGATTTCTTTTCTGGAGAACCGCGTTTTTCTATTTTGTTAACAAAACAGTTACTAGATTTCAGTATCTTCAAAGTCATAAAATGTGAAATTTAGACATTTTGTCTCAAAACTGGGTTACTAGACTCTCGGGTTTATGGGAGCTCAGGAGGACCTGGCCAAGAGCCTAGCTCGAGGCCCTCTGCTGGGAGGTGAGGCGAATACCGAAGGCAAAACTCGCCGCGCCTTTGGAGTGGGAGGTGCTGTCTCCTTCAGTTGGCGCACCCTCCCTCCTCTTCCAATTGGAGCTTGCACCGCTTCTCGGCGTAGGCCAATCACAGGGCTGTTGCGGGGCAGAGGGCGGAGCAAGAAACCAGAGACCCAGAGGAGGAAAATTGGCAAGTCTGTTGATTTGGCCAACCGGGAAATGAATAAACTGAGATCCGTAATAACAAAACTCTAAATGTTTAATCCAGGCACACAAGTTCGCCCTTCTTTCTCTTTCTCTTCAAGTCCTCAGATCCAAGCACTTTTTTTTTTTTCCATTTTGGCAAAATTTGCAATCTCTCCTGGAGAAACCAGTGGCAAAGCTAGAAAGTGCCCCTTCTTGGGAAGGTCGCACTGCAATCCTTTCCCTTTCCTATCTCTCCCTCCTTTCCTTCTTTTTCTTTCTCCCTTCCTTCTTTTCTTTCTTTTTCTTTTTCCTTTCTTCTTTATTTTTTCCTGTAGAGTGCTTGCACTTATAGGAGAGAGACAGGAAGGGAGGGAAAGGGAGAAATCACCCCCCTCCCAGGGGAGATGGCCTCTTGTACTTATAGGAGAGAGACTGGAAGGGAGGGAAAGGGAGAAATCGCCCCCCTCCCAGGGGAGATGGCCACGCTGCAATCCCTTCTCCATTCTTTCACTGGATTTAGGGCATAGCCTGTTTTTCGCGACATTGGTCCAGGACATAACACTGTGAAGATGGCCTTGTGAGATACAGCCACCTTATCACAGCCATCTGGCTAGCGTTGTTTCTCAAGGGCCAGTCCTTACTCCTTCAGCTGGTCCCACAATTCTTTTGTTAAGATGTCACTATGTGATCAGCTCTGGTCTAGGTACTGGGGACACCAAGGTGAATGAGACAAAACAGGAGTCACGACCGCTTAGAGCTTACCTTCTGGGAAATAGCCTTTAAGCAAGATTCACCATGTGTTTTGAGAGAGTGAGTTTGTATAATAAACCAACGTGATGGATAAGAGTGAAGTGTGAAGAGGAGAAGCTAAAGAGCGGTCAGAAAACCTTGATTGATGATGAGAAAGTAGCTATGGGAGAGAGATCCAGGTGCAAAGGCTGCTCTTAGGAGGAAAGAATGTGGACGGTTGGGAGGACAGAAAGGCGAGCAGGAGCCGCGTATACCACCATGAAGTTCCAGAGGAAGGCAGAAGCCAGATCGTATAAGGGCCTTGTATGTCCAAGTACTGAGCATCCATTTTGTTCTAGAAATGATAGGAAGCTGCTAGCAGGTTTGAAGGAGGCCTGAGAAGGGAGACAATGGGACTGGAAGCAGTTTCAGGTACTGTCGAGCTGCGCACCCGGGCCTGAAGCGCCTTTGGTTACTGCGAGCTGGCTAGCTAAGTCCCACCAGGTGCAAGAGATGCCTGGGGAACGCGGAAGGACGAGGCCATCTTCATCTTCACAGCTCTGGGCAAGCACTTGGCACTCTATAAACTCATCTTCCTTTTGGAATCTAAAGGGCCTGTGGCAAGGGCGCTCTCCTTGCCTTCGCCTTCGTGGTTCCAGAGTTCAGAGCGTAGTGGTGGTTGGCAGGTTTGGAGTCCTTGGACACTGTATTGATTATGGGTGGATATGGGAAAAGATGTACTAGAGGGCTGCAAAAACTTCATAGAAAACATGTATTAGGAAAAATTAGTATTCGTGGATTTCGAAATCTATTTAGCACCAAAGTAAACGCGCGCACACTTTATTTCTCCATACCGGTTTAAAGTCCTTCCCACATGCAGGTGGAGCCATTCTGAAACCCTTCCGTAAGTTAAGTGCCTGAAGAGCCAGGGTGGGGGGTGTGGGGACTGCAAAAGCTGGGAAGGGTAGCAAATCTTTGACACCAAGAAAACATCTGGTTTCTAATGCCTATTTTCTTTCTGTCTTCTGCAGATTTCTCCAACTTAAATTGTCCTGAGACCCTGAGACTTGGAGACAATCAGCAAAGCTTGACTACAACACACCCAGCCCACCCAGTTTTTCCCTGCCTTCATAGTCCCCCCTCTAAAATAGTTCCACCCACTTCCCTGAAACTTCCTTCCGTTGTAGTCCAATTTATATGCTATTATTAAAAAAAAAAGTGAACAAAACCCACTATTCCTGCCTTCTTACTGTGTCGGTGTTTGGGGAGTACTCATGTCTGAGTACATACCTGCGTGGGCACTTCCTCTTGCCAGCCTGGCGCTGGCTAGGAGCTGTGTCACTTTATTTCAGCCATTCTGTGCACGAGGAGAGCTCAAAGGGGCCCCTTGGCTTTCCTCGAGTCAAACTGCCAGCCTGAGGTAAAGGAAAGGCTCAGCTTCTTAAAAGTTGGTGTTTTCACTCACATCAGTATGGAGGGGGTCATTAATCATCACACAAAGAGTATTTTTCACCTCAGTTGACTGGAAGACAATAGGTGTCTGAGGTTCACTGGGGTTTTTTCTACCATACCTTTTAGAAAGAAAAACGCTACGGTTAGTCATGTCCCAATCTCAGAGACGATAAAATGCCAAGAGCTGGATCTTAAGATGATGAAATGTGGTTAAAATGAGTGAAAACTTCAGGGAGAACTCCGAATGACAGACTCTCATACTCCTGGCCATCCTCGGTTGCCAGGTCGCAGGGTGTGTGGTATTTTGCCCCTAATACTGCAGCCAGTAGGTGACAGAACCCGATCGATTGATTGAACTTGGACCACAGCCTCGGGGCCTGGGTGTGCTGGCTACCCACTGCTCCAGGCTCTAGAACCCCCCAGGCAGCGGCTCTGAGGGCTATGAGGTTGTCACTGACCTCCACCAAAGCAAAAGCAACATCGCTCTGCTTCTAGTCAAAGCAGGGGTGCTGCAGGGACTGGCTCCGACTCCTTCTGGAGCTAGGAGACCCTCTTGTGCACACTGTCTGATTCCATGCTGGAGCGCATCTCCTGTATTGATTGATATGCAATCACATAACATAAGATTAATGATTTTTTACCTGTACAATTCAGTTCACAATAGTGTGCAACCTTTGCTCTTAGCTAGTCCTGACACATTTTTTTGCTCATCTCCAAAGGAGTCCCCATTAAGCATGTCTTTTGCCCTTGTCAGCTACAGATCTCCTTTTGCTTCTGTGGATTTATCTATTCCAGATATTACTTATAAATGAGATTATGCAATATGTGGCCTTTCCTGTCTGGCTTCTTTCACTGAGCTGAATTCTTCTGAGGCTTATCCAAGTTACAGGATGTATCAGTATTTCATTTGTGTTTATGGCTGAATCATGTTCCATTATATGAATACTCTGCAGTTTGTTTTTTTCATCTGGTGATGGATGACGAACGTTGGTTGAGTTGTCTTCACCTTTTAGGTATTGTTTACAGCACTACCAGAAACATTAATGTACAGATAGTTGTTTGAATGCCTGTTTTTAATTATTTTGTGGTAGACCAAGGAATGGAATTACTGGGTCATCCAATAATTCTACATTTAACTTCTTGAGGAACCACAACTGATTCTTTTCTGTTTTTTTTTTTTTTCTTGTCCTGAAGCTTCCCTGAACTTGGTTATTAGCCTTAATAGTTGTGTGTGTGTGTGTGTGTGTGTGTGTGTGTGTGTTCTTTAGGGTTTCCTATGTATAAGATCATGCCATCTTCAAAGAGGGATAATATTATTTGTTCTTTTCCAATCTGAATGCCTTCATTGTTGTTGTTGCTGTTGGTCTAGTTCTCAGTACAATGTTTCTTGTACTATTTTGAAAATAATCAGATGTGGGCATCCTTGTCTTATTCCAGATCCGAGAAGACAATCTTTTACCATTGAGTATGATGTTAGTGCGGATTTTCCATAAATGTCTTTTGTCAGGTTGAGGAGGTTTTTTTTTTTCTTCTAGTCCTAGTGTCTTGAATGCTTTTTATCATAAAAGGGTGTTTAATTTTGTTAAAATATTTTTCTGCATTGAGATTGTCATATTTTCTCTTTCATTCTATTACTATGAATTATTACATTGATTTTATTAATTGAACTGAGCTAAATCTCACTTGCATATGATGATAATTATTTTGTTTATTTTTATTTTTAAACTTTTACCAAAAGGAGCATACAACAGCCAGAGAGAGACAGAGAGGAAGGGAGAGGGAGAAACAACCATTCTTGGGGAATGGTCACATTGCAATTCCTTCTTTTGCCCTTATCCCACCTTTCAGGATGCTGGGCATGCACACACATGTTTAGCATATTTTTCAGAGTCCACGGGCCCAGGACTCCAGCCATGCAGTCGATGATATGGGATCGGGCTCCCTTAACCACCAGGCCAAGGGCTAGCCTGATGTGTGATCATTTTAATACGATGCAAGATTTAGATTGGTAATATTTTGTTGAAGATTTCTGTATCTTTATATGGACTGCAGTATTGCTCTGTAGGTTTTTTCTTTCTTTCTTTCTTGTAATGTTTTGGTCTGGTTTTGTGGATCACAGTAATGCTGGTCTCACAGAAGTGTTCCCTAGCCTTCTATGTTTTGAAAGAGTTTGAGAAGGACTAATGCTAATTGTTCTTTAAGCATTTGATATGTAATTTACTAGAGAAGTGCTCTGGTACAGCCTTTTTCTTTTGAAGAGGTTTTAGACTACTTAGCTTATTTGTACTAAGTCTGTTCAGATTTCCTATTTTTGGAGTCAGTTTTGTAGTTTGTATGCTTCTAGAAATTTATCCTTTTAATCTGATTTATTGGTTTACAACCATTAATAGTGTTCTTTTTATTTTTAAAGAATGATTCAATTTTATTTATTCATTTATTTTTAATTTTTCCAGAGAGAAACAGACAGAGAGAGAGATAGAGAAAGAGAGAGAGAAAGTAAGAAAGCAAGCCACCAGGTCCAGGACTCGAACCATGGTTAGCCATAGTGGGAGTGTCCAGCATCTTAACCACCATGCCACCTGCTGGTCCCCAATAGTATTCCTTTATAATCCTTTTCTCCCCTTAAGGTTGCTACTGATGTCTCCGTTATATTGTGTTTACCTGTCATCTTTTCCTTGGTTCAGCTTTCAATTGGTTGTGGTAAACGTTTGATTGTTTCAGTTACCACAAAGTCAGTTCTGACGGTTTTGGCCTATTTACTTTTTTCTTCTGTTTTTGTAAAGGCAAGGGGCCTTTACAGCTTCCTAATCTGCCATTTTCACTGACTGTTACTTCTATTTTGGGTTTTTGTTCTTTCTTTTTGTTGTTTTTTCTTTTTGGTTTTGTGTTAGAGCAAAATGGTCAGAGTCCTCTGATTGCGTTACTTCCTCCATAGACACAGCATACGTGTTTGGTATTCAGTGCCCAGCCTCCGTCTTCCCAATTCCTGGTATCTGTTCCTGTTGGCTGAATCTCAGGCACAAGCACTCAGCTGCTTCCCTCTGGATTTTGTCCATTTCCTCCACCCCAACTCTCCGAGGCTCATTACCCACCTTTTCTCAACTCCCCTCTTCCTCTCTCCTCCCCACCCCTTTGGACTCTCGGAATTGCTCGGTGGCAGTCACTCCTCCTCCCCTGACCGGCGGGCCCCAGTGGAGTGGGCGCCTGGGGAGCCTTCTTTGAGGCCACTGGGCCTCTGTCAGGAGCTTGTCTCCTGGTCCTTCGCGGATCCCCGCGCGCTGGGCCTCCCTGCGAGCGTTTCCCGGCACGCGGAGCAACACGCGGGGGTGGGACGGGCTCGGGCTGTGACCTGTATTTGAACAGCGGGCCAGAGGCCCAAGCAGTGGCACCGAGCGAGCGCGAGGACGCAGCAACCGTCTCTGGCCGCTTTCCAGCTAAAAAGTAAAAGCGGGCAGGGGAAGAGAGCGTGCGAGAGAGGCCGGGAACTGGCAGGGGTTTTCAGCGCCGCCGCGCGGGGCCCGGAGGTTGGAGGGGCGGCTGCCGGCTCCAGTTCCGGGGTGGGGCTTTCCTGCAACTGCCGCGCCAACCTCTGAGCCACCTGGCCCGCCGGCCCGCGCCCGACTGTGGAGCCAGAGCCCAAAGACGCTTAAGACCGAGGCACTTTCAAGCTTCCCCCGGAGCTTGCAGGACGGTGGCGAGGCCCGCGCACGGTCTGCGGCGGCGCCCGGCGCGGTGGGACCCCGGGGCCGCCCTTGTCTCCGCCGCGTCTCGTCTCGGAGACCGAAACGCAGCGACCCTTCCTCGTCGGCTGGCCGATGCCACCCTAGTGCCCCGGAGGCAAGGTACCCTTCACATCATTGCAGCTCTCACATATCTTACTAAAGTAACCAAGTTCAGATAATAAGCAAACATCTTTTTAAGTGAATACATGATTTCCTTTTTAAAATTTCAACCTTTTCTCTGTGTCTTACGACGTTGTCGGAGTAAATCTCAAGTCTCCGTTAATCTCACTTGTGTCTTTCTCAAATCATCGTCAGAGTCAAGTGTTGCCGCAGTTCTGCCTGTGGACTATGTGGTCTTAGAGAATGCTTTCGTTAGGGCGATCGTAGCCAAGGAAAGTATCTGAGGACATTGAAATGACATATCCTGCCTGCACACTGCTGTTTGAGCTCATTTAAATCATCACCTGTATTTATTTATTATAACCTTTCAGGCATTTCTGAGCAAACTGAAGAATAAGCATTACCTAATTAATCTCTGTGTCCAAGTGTCTGGATGATGTAGCTGCCCCAGAGCCTGTTTGCCTAATTTTTACAAAAAGACATGTGAAAACTCGAAGTGATATGAAGAGTTCTCACTCTCTAAGCAACCTTTTCATTCCTTAATTCACTTAAAAAATAATCACTGAGCACCTACCGTGGGCCAGACACTGTGCTGGGCAATAGAAATAAAAAAACAGAACAAAACAAAAGCTCTTTTATCTCCAAGGAAGAAGACAACCAAAAGCAGAAGGTATTGGTGCTACTCATAAATCTTCCAATATTCTGCTTGCTTGCAGCTGGATCAAAGGGGAGTCTCCCCGATAGAACCTGGAACCCAGAAAAACTTAAAAACAGACTGAATCCCCTCCCCCACTCCCACTGAGGTGAGTCTCCTTGATTTCATTGTCCAAAGATTTTTTTTTTGGTGAGTAGGAAAACAAATCACTGTTAGCTCTACCCAGAGGAATCTAGTAGTGAGTATTTTTTTCTTTCTTAAAAAGTAATTTTTTTATTTAACTTTATCGTTATTTTTTAAAAATTGTGCTGTAGGGCACATGTACTCACTAGAAAGAGACAAACAGAGAGAGGAGAGTGAGAAAACAAGCAGCCAGGTCTGGGACTTGAACTGTGGTTGGCCACATGGGAGTCCAACACCTTAACCACTACAATGCCTGCTGGCCCCAGAGTATTTTTTTTTTTTGAAAGATTTTTTGCTATAGGTCACATGCGCATGACAGAGAGACAGAGGAAGACAGAGACTGAAAGAGAGAAATCAACTCCCTGCCCCAGAAGGGATGGCTACACCACAATCCCTTCCCCTCCATTCTCCTCTCAGGATTTTGGGCATGCACACACATGTAATCTTTCTTCTTCTTCTTTTAAAAATTATTTAATTTTATTTATTCATTCATTTATTTTCATTTGACCAGAAAGAAACACACACACACTCACAGAGACAGAGAGAGAGAAGGATAGTAAGAAAGGAAGCCGCCAGGTCCGGGACTTGAACTGTGTTTAGCCATGTGGAAGTGTCCAGTGCCTTAACCACCACGCCACCTGCCGGTTTCTATTCTTTTTTTGTTAGAGTTTTTAAAATAATTAATTAATTAATTTGCTATAGGGCCTGTGTGCTTGCCAGAGAGACAGATAGTGAGAAATCATCCTCTGGGGGAATGGCCACACCGCAATTCCTTCTCCTCCAATCTCCTCTCAGAAACATAACCATTAAGCCATCTGCAGGTCCCACATGTGCCATTTTCAAGATTCTGGTCTGGCACTGGAACAGGGTTGACCATGTGAGAGTCCAGCACCTTAACCACTATTCCACCTGCTGGCCCCCAGAGTATTTTTGCTTTATTAGAGGTGAGAAGAAACAGTGCTACTCTCAGTATAAATCATTTAATAAAATAATTTGTATTGTTCACTTAGGTGAGAAAACTGTCGTTACAGATGAGATTTTAGGTTAGTAACCCAAAAAGTAAATTTTACAATTCTCATACCTGTCAAGTTTTACTTTACCAAGGCTTATTGATATATACTTTTAAAAATAATAATTTTATTGTAATTTCTAATTTACATTAGAACTACATAGTAGTTCTTGGTAGAAGGATTGGTGTGATAATTCTTTTAAAGCTACCTTAACATGCCAGAAGTTTTTTTTTTTTTCCCTTTGGAGAGGTTTTTGCTATAGGGCGTGTGCGCTCGTCAGATAGACAGAGACAGAGAGATAGAAAGCGAGAAATCACCCCCTGGTGGGATGGCCATGCCACAATCTCTTCTCCTCCATTCTCCTCTTGGGATCTTGGGCACGCACACACACGCGCTCGGCCTGAGTTTCAAGCCACAGGGTCCGGCCGGTGTTCAAAGCCACAGGGTCCGGGACGCGATCCGCGGTTGACTACATGGGAGTCCAGAGACATAGCCATTGCGCTAACTGCTGGTCCCATGCCAGAAGTTTTTATTAGCTGCCATACAGTCAAGTTTTAGATAAAAATAGTAATGCAAAATACATTCAACTTTAAAAAGTCAAGGAAACTGTCTTTATAGACAAGGAAAGAAGTTTTCATAAAGCTAAACAATAAATTAAAGTTTTTTCCTTTGGACTATTGAGATGAAATTGATGAAAGAAATAGAAAAATGAAGTGTGTTTCTCTTCATTATTAAAAGAACCTTGAGTAAGTATTTCTCAGGGAGATGTGGTACTCCTCTGGGACCGCCATAGGACATGTCCTGACCTAGGGGACAGTGGAACAGGTTTCCTGAGGGAAGGAGTGAGAGCCGGGACGAGCAGTGCAATGTTACAGCACGGAGACGACACAGTGCCACAACCCCTCAGGGTGGTCCGGAGACAATGCGGTATCACAGCTCTTCAGGGTCATCCAGAGATGCCACGGTGTCACAGCTCTTCAGGGTCTTCCGGGTCATCTGGAGACGATGGTGTTACAACTCTTCAGGGTCTTCAGGGTCGTCTGGCCATTGTGGGCCAGGGATTGTGGTTATATACATGCTGGTGGGCAGTGATTGGTTGAATGAAGGATTGTAAAAGATGGGTTATGATTGGTTGCTTTCATGGACCAATCATGAGGTGCCGGATATGCAAATCTGAGGGATTCTTATCTCACCGATTTGCTATAGGAAGTGGCCAATCAGAGCATGGTTCTGAAGGTGAGGTTTTTGAAGGGGAGCCAATTGTGGCCTTTATGGGAAGTGGCCAATCAGAATATAGTTCTGAAGGTGAGGTTTTTGAAGGGGAACCAATCATGGCCTTTGGCATTGTGTAATTGTTTGCTTTCTGAGAAACTGGTGATATTCGCTGGTGCGCAGCCTCCCGCACTCAGGGAAATGTGGTACTCCTCTGGGACTGCTGTAAGACTTCAGGAGAGTACAGTCAGAAAGTGACCCAGTGATGTGAAGGGCCAATGCACGTGAAGGCAGATTTGTCTTGTGTATGAAAGGCAGAATGAATCATTTCCATGTCAAGTTCTCTATATATTTTTAAATGTGTACAACATTTTTTACACTGGAAATTTCTAACCACTAATGAGCAGAAGGGGATGGGGGACATGCCACTGTGAGGTCATGAAAATATCTTGGTTCTCAACAAATTTTCTTTTCTCACATTTATTGAGGCTTTGAGCCTGAACCTGTGGATCTATCTCATGATGATTGCACATTTTCCAACTTTTGTATTATTGTTTGAGGAGCAAAACAATCTCTATCTCATAAGAAAATGATGTTGAGGGACTAGCAGTTAGTGTGGTGATTAAGAGCACTGGTCTTCCATATGGCCGACTGCAGTTCAAGTCCTGGACCTGGCTGGTTGCTTTCTCGCTTTCCCTCTTCTCTCAGTCCCCCCCACCTCGCTCTGTCCCTCTCTGGTCAAATTTAAATAAATAAATAAATAAAAAGTTATATAAAAGCATTCTTTAGAAAAAAAGAGAACAATGTTGTAAACTGCCATTAAAACACAGAGCAACAGAAAAACAGCAGATTATTTCCAATATTCACAGAACTGTATATTGAAGAATTATGCAAACACTAAAAATGGAGCAAATTCTTTAGTTGGATACATTAAATACATGCAGCTTTTTGTATACCAATCATATCTCAATAAAGTGGTTTTAAAAACAGGCCCAGCTTCTGTGTTATAGTTGGTAGAATACGGGATGTGGAGCTGGATGTCACATGCCAGCTGAGGTTTGACTTCCCAGCCCCATTAGCCCAAAAACACACTGGACACATGCAAGCATGCCCAGGATCCTGGTAGGCCAGGGGGCCTGCAGGAAAGGGATGGTGGCATGGCTGAACTTTGGGAAGTGTGATTTCTCTCTCTCTCTTTTCTTCCCTCCCACCACTCTCCCTCTCTCTCTCTCTTGCATGCCTGCACTCTATCATGAATTAAAAAAAAAAAAAGAAGAAGAAAAAACAACTCAAAGGGCCCATGCAAAAGAAAATCAGGTTTTTTGGTTCAACCCTATTTTGAGTTAAGAATAATTAAAAAGTATTCGCATGTGATGAATATGGCCCCCTAAATGTAATACATGAATCATTTTATATATGCATTAGAAACTTAATATGTCATCTATTTATGATTGGGAAATGTACTAGTCTATTATTCTACTGCTAAACAGAAACACCTGAGACTAGGTGATTCATAACAGGTAGAAGTTTATTCAGATCAGGATTCTGATGGCTGCAAAGTCCAAGAGCATGAGGCCAACATCTGACTAGCCTCAGAAGCTGTGTCATAACATGGCCAAGAGAAGTAGGCAGGTCAGCAGCCATGCTCAGAGAAAGACAGGAAGAAGAAACAGACATTTCCACTTCCTCTGTTTGTCCCTCCTGTGCCCCCAGATGACTGGACGATGCTTCCCATTAGGCCTTCCCTCTTAAAGGTCTCATCAGTTTTTAAAGCCACTGGAGGCTAGACTTCCAGAACATGAACTTTTGGGGGACTAACTATCATTCAAACTATAGCAAGAAGACAAATTCAACATTTTTAAGCATTAGAAATATACAAAACAGTTATGCATGGAAATAAAACTGGTGAGGTGCCTTGTGTTTTTATGCTAGAGTCAAGCTACAGTAATCTGAGGTTATTATGAAAACTTTGGAAAATGTTGTTTTGTATATTAAAAATCATGTGTTTTGGTGAAGGGATGAAAGAATAACAATCTCCCTTTGACTTGACATTTTATTACATTTGCAACTGGGGGTCACATGGTGGCACAGTGGTAGTGTAGCTGGAACCACATGGGAAGGTTCTATATTCACATCCCCAAGACTCCTATATACACTAGGAACACATGTGTGTTCTCATGATCTGGACTGGCTGGGGCTGGGGATGGATCATGGTATAAGGACCCTATTGGGAGTGGCTATCTCTCTGCCTGTCTCTTTCTTTCTCTTTATCTCTCTCTTTCATGGAAGAAATAACTATATAAATTTTAAAATAATTAAAATTGGAATGGAATGCCTGAAGTAATCAGTATTGTGAAGAAGGAAATCCAGCACAGAAGCAAACTAGTTTTTTTTTTTTTTTTTAAATTATTTTATGTGGGAACAGCAATTGGCGTAATGGCTCTGTCACTGGACTCCCATGGGGTCAACCACGCTTTGAGTCCCAGGCCCAGTGGCTTAAACTCACGCTGGGTGCATGTGTTTAAGATCCCGAGAAGAGAATGAAGAAGGGATTGCAGCGTGGCTATCCCCCCTGGGGGGTGATTTCTTGCTTTCTGTCTCTCTGTCTCTCTCTGTCTTTCGGGTGAGTGCATGAGCCCTATAGCAAAAACCTCTCAAAAAGAATTATATAACTTTATTTATTAACTTACTTTAATTTGACCAGAGAGAGACAGAGGTGGGGGTGAGGAGTGAGAAAGCAAGT